TAGCGTATGAAAATAGACTGCTTTAGTTTTTTCCATAGTGACGATGACGGGTGTAGAAGATTCATTCACAACTGGGTATAATCTTCTTATTTGTTTCTGTTGCATTGCATTGCATTTCTTCACTATTTTATTTATTCATTTATTTATTTTTATTTTTTTTTTGCCTTTTTGCAATCAAAAGCTTAAATAAAGTATGCACTATGTCTACTTTTGTTTTGGAATAAACCTAAAAAAAACATGTTTAGGAGTTCCGTGTAAAATATATATTTTTGATTAGTATGCGAGACTATGATCATAACTCAAAGTTTCTCTCTTTTTTTATAGGATTATTTAAGTCTCAAAATCTTAGACAGAAAAGTAAAACTGGGCGAATATGTCTTGACTTAGCTGCCGTATATCATACCGGATTAAGATGAATTTATTGGGAAGCGGACCCAAAGCAGTTGAAAGCAATAACTTCATAACCTACACAACTCTACACAACTTGTGGTACAAGGGTATGATAAGTCTTGTGTAGGCCTTGTGAAGGCCTTAGCATCATTCTCTGAACCGATTAAAGCTTGTCTATCTGTCATCTGCTTGCTTATATGTCTCTCTTGTTTTCTTGTGTTCAATCTAGAGGGCGCAATGCTTGAGATATTGTTAAGACCTTTGCTAGACCGACGTGTTTTTGCCCAACGGCCAACAGTATTGAAAATGCTCTGGATTGAATCACTTTTTTAACCACTTGCCACGCCTTACTTTCAATAGTTGTTATACGAATAGTTGCGAGTTGGTGTAGGTTGCTTAATGGTGGGTAGTGGCCGTTGTTCTACTTACTTGAGATGATACTAAGCTTAAAAAGGAGGCGTAAAAAATAATCGAAAGGTGATATTATAACTTAAGATATTTGTATATTTTGCAATTGGAAGAGCATCGGAAAATAAGTGTACGGTATGTTAAATGACAAGCTTTGTATGGATGATTTAATATAGGAGAAGTAACATCATCTTGACTTCTATAGAGTACTCTTAAGGCGATCTTGTGGAATAATCCGTTGACTCATTTGCAATGCACTTTCCGAATGCATTAGAATTTTCCTCGTGAATATGCGAATTCTTGAATTAGCCTAAAGTAGGACTAGAGTATGCTATGGAAAGAAAAATCTACAACAGAGTCTGATGTAGTTGATGTAGTTGTAGTATAGATTTTTATTTTTATTTTTTTTTTTCATCATAGGAAGAGGGTGTCAAATGATGTGCTGCATGCCACGTACTACAAGTTTTTTTTTTTTAGTATTATTGTACGAAAATTGTCTTGCAAATAAAGTTTATTTGATTAGCTTCCAAATGAATTATTTTCATTTTCGCATCATTGATCTTACAGTACAATAATAAAGTTTTATTGCAGTTATTTTGTGTGATATTGTCGTTCAGTGCCAACAGTTTAAGTTGAATTGAATTCTTTTTGTTTTCTTTCCCCATTTTGAAGAATTTCAATCACATACCTAATTGGGTAAGATCAAAACTTAGGCTAGAAAAAAATATTAAAAAAAAGAATGCCTTCGAAGTTGTTTTCAAAAAAAAAGCGCAAATAATTTTCATTTTTTACTATACTATGCAAATAATGATAGTCAGCGTTTACAGCTATCAGTATGGAAAAAAAATATTAATAATTTTTTCTCCTCTTCTTCTTATTTCATTCATTTGAAACGAATTAAATTAAATTTTTCTTGTATGCGGGCGTTTTGCTAAATGCAATGATTGAATTGTTTATTTCTCTTTCTAAATTTCTATTCGAGTCCGTTATTTGCTTAGTCGTAAATTTCGTAACTCGATTATAACAACAAAAAATTTTAATCTGTGTTTTATTATTTTTTTTTTTTTTGCCCTTTACTCTATTTCTAGAAATTGAAATTTGTATCTTTTGCTTAGCATTGTTTAAAGTACAGTGTAGTTAGATAAATAAGTTCAATAAATTTTTAATAAAATTCTCTGGGATATATTGGTTCACGACATGGAAAAGTACCACTTGAAAATATTGTTACGGAAATCCTAAATCCAGCTCATTCTGGATAATTAATTTTTCCAAATAATAATTTTCCCTAGAGAGAAAAAAACCAAATGCACATTCGCAGACGCGTCATGCAGCTGCGTCGTCTGAGGGAAACGAGTAACGGAAAATCAGGTTAACGGATTAAAAATGAAGCCATGAACTTAGGTAATAATAATAAGCTTGCAAAAATGTGTAAAAATAGACTATTTGCGGGAGGCAGAGTGAGTCGGACAAGAACATTTGAGTCGAGAGTACTACCAAAATAAAATGTGAATAATCCTACGGTTAAGGAATATAAAAGAATTTTCTTTGAAAAGAATATTCACGAGCTAGCGGTACGAGTACTATCTTAGAAAAGTGAATTTCTTAACAATATGTTGGGCTTGTCAAATGTACGTAACGCCCAGAAAATATATCAAAGGATCTATACGAAGTATTCTTCATCATTTTCTATATTAAACTTTCTTTAGCCATATCTGCATACCTGCTCGTTGATGTCACTGTTAAGACCATCAAAATTTTCTCAGATTTGATTTTTAATAATCTTTCCTTATAGTATGGTCCATGCATACCGTCGACAAGGGATAATCAGAAATTTAATTGGTGGCGCAATTTATTGGGTTCGATATGCTACAGTATATTAAGTTAAAGGCGTTAAAAACTTGGACTTGAACTGTTGCAAAGAAATGAGAAATTTAGAGCCTAATACTGGTGTAGTACAAGTTGGCTTGGGCAGGGAAAGTCCCAAGAAGATGATATACAACAAGGACTTTATGCTTCGGAAGGACAATAAGATGTCGTAGTGCGGTACACCTTTCCGTTTTTATTGGGTTCGACATTAATGCGTCAAAATAAAGTTTCACTTAACTTTATGTAAATCAGACTCTGATACCGAAGTTAGAGTTGCTGTGATTTTTACTAGAAATTTTCAAAAATTGGTAGATAATTATGTTTTCCTCTTTCTCCAATTATTTTAATATATTTTTTGCAGTCAAGTATATTAACTTTTGTTTTGCTTATTCTATTCACTACATTCTCCTATTGCATCGAGGACGAAGAGGAATGGTGACAAACAACATCGATCGACTTGCGAGAGATTTATGCGTAGACGGCGGTGAAATACTGCACGCTGCACTACGAGTTGTTCTCTTACAGAATGGAGGGCACTCATCGAGTATTGTTTTAATATTTTTTAAACTTTCTCCACAATGTCACGAGAGTTTTACTTAATTTAGAAAAATCATTCAATGTGCCGCTTCGTACGGTCGTGATCAAGGACTGCGTCTGCAACACAGCTAATAATATCTGCACATTTCGTATGACAGCTACGCTCGCAAAGCCAACAAGTATATGAGTCGCTCGCAGTTAGAGCCTGTTTTGGTTCCACATGATGTAAACGAACACTCCATGTCAGAAAGCAACAGACACAATAGAGTGTGAGGAAGAAGTAGCCAAAAATGACCTCTTCGATAAGCACGCAAACTGTAAACGCCGCAAAGCAAGCCGCTCATCGTAGAAACGAAAATGATATCAACACAAATTGTTGAATACATTTCAATAAATTTATTCACCTTCATAATTACTTAGGCCTTAAAATCGTGCACATACAGCAGTAAAATAAAAAACGAACTACAAAATTTCTACACACAAAGTAAAAAGTGCGATCATAGCGCGCGCGCGTAGAGTTGTAAATCTTGCGATATATATCAGTGCGTATATAGCGTATGTATTAGTTGCGACTACGCGTTAGTTAGAGACTACGCGTTCCGTTAGGTGGAATAAGCAGAGGATAGTGCAGGATTTGTTTCCGTCACGCTTAGCGATGAACCGGGTCATATACCATTGGAAAGTAGTCGGATTTTAACCGGCAATAATGGAAACGCATTCGCAGTAGATATGATACAATATTGTGCGTATGCCCCACGCCAGCCTGTATAAATCTTCAAAGGCCTACATAGATGCACTACATAGCACAGACTCGTTTCTTTTTTTTTTCAATCTCTTCAGGTTACTGTGCCTATTATTGAATCATAAGTGGATCATAACTGTTTAGGTAGCAGGCGGATTTAAAGGCCATAGTGGCTTCGGGAAAGAGGTATTATCTCAGCGGGAAAAATGCTGCACATAAACTTTTAATGAAGAACTTTTCAGTAGAATTAAATTTATTCTAAAAGAGGTAAATACTTTCTACTACTAGTAGAAAACGTCTTAGTCCTATTATTTAGTCTCTTTAACTTAAATAGTGAAATTTTTTCAATTGCGTTTTAAGTAAAATTTTTTTGCACTTTTTTTGTTTGAGTAACTAAACGAAGTACGTAGACGAGTCGATAAAGTGCATCTATCTGAATAATCTTTAGTTAATGCATTGATTGCATTTAATTACTGATTAATCTAAACAATAAATTGAAAAATTTTACACTCAGGACAATGTAATACATTACGGCAGTCTATGGCGTGATGTTTAAATTCGATATTTGCAGAAATTTACGAGAGAGAATGAGTGAATGGAAGCTCTTTTCAACTTAATTATCATTTTCTTTTTCGTTGAAATGCATTTCACCTTCAGTACTGCCTACTGCCTACATCTGGATTGCTATTTACGCTTCATTATCTTTATTATCACACAATTGCTCTTCATTTACAGATGTTATAAGGTATGTGTGCGAGTTTGACATTATTCCCGAGTGTGAGATTAATCTGTTTACAGCATAAATTAATTATATTCGCTTGTTTACACACACAACCAACTATTTTTTATTTTTTTTTTTTATTTTTTTTTTTTTTGCTTCAAAAAGGCTCTTCTTTGTGCTTTAGGCTAAAGTTTTTTTTTTTTTCTTGTATTTTAGTAAAACTTGAACATGTTTTTTTAAAGAAACAAATCTTTAAAAGTTTTTCATATGAAAATATTTACTTTGGGTTGCTTGCCTTTTATGAAATGAAAAACTTTTATAAAAGAGAAAAAAATTTCAACAAAAACTTAAAGGCCTTATAGCCATTAATAGCGTCGTTACATTATCGCGTAAGACAGGATTCATTCGGTGTTGTTTTTCCCAACTGGATGGATGAGCATGCACTTTAGCTAATTGATATAAATCAGCATAATATTCCATGCCAGGTATGCCCAATGAATTAAAACTCGCTGATACTTCAGTGCAATCAATGATTGCCGTTTTCAAAGGCGTCACCAGGAGAGTTGAATGATTTGGCTTTTCTCGAAACCATATGAAATAATAATAATAATAATAATAATAAGTAAATTAATTGTTTATTTCTAATCATTCCCATCGATTTACCATCTTTTTGCCCTCGATTAGTTCACGCATTAACAAGACAGCTGTACGACTGCCGGCCAAGAGATTCCAACGCGACCAACTGAAATTATGTGATAATGCTAATGTTGACATACACGCATATAAATGCATCTCCATTATGTAATTCTTTTCGCATGATCCTTCCGTATAGCAGAATGTGTCCTCCTCAGGAAATATATCAACACCGGATTGTATTAAAATTTGCTTTATTACGTCCAATGGTAATGTTTTCCCCACCATTTCGCTAATACTTTCAGTTGAGCCACCTTGAAAATTGTTAACGCTATAACCGTCCTCTGTAATCGTCATATCCACGCTCACTAGTGACGCAGTAAAACTGAACAGTATGGTATCAAAACTGAAATCAAAAAAATGAAAAAAAAAAAAAACAAAAAACAAAATGCATTCAGCTATTACCGAATCTTTTGTATGTACGCCTTTAAGGCGCATTACTCGAAGGAAATGAAATTTTGATAATTTATGATATTGAGTACGTATAGGTGATGTTTTCTATTTTTTTACAAGTATTATAGGATCATCCATATAATAATCCCTAAAAATTATTCTCATTACATTTGTTATGGCCTATGAGTAATGAGCAAGAAAATCCAATTTATTTTTACTTTTACAACAAATGTGTTCTCAATTTATGTTCTATTTTCGGCGTATCAATACTAACATGCAGGCAAGAATTTCCAATAATTTCAACTTGATTACAAACACTTCGACCAATGATCGCATAAAAACGTATGTAGAATTTTCAAAGCAAAACTTATAATATCTGCGTAGTACATAAAGATCTATGTGAAATACAAATTAATTTAAGGTAAAAAAAAAAAATAGCTGATGTAGCGTGTTCAGCTAACTTACATAAACACATGCGAACATAGTGCAAACAATATATATGAAAATCTTATAAAACTCTTCTACTAAACTGTTAGGGCAAAGCTTTCCATTAGCCACTTGGCGACCGATACTAGCCATAGTTCCTTTAGTTTGCAAAACGAAAAGTATTCTAAACCTATTCGTTAATTTCATTCAAATACGATATCAGCAGATTGTGCATATTGAGGAGAATTATTCATTTATTTATTTATTTGTTTACTTACGCATGAAACTCAAAACTGAAATAAATTAACAGCCGAATTCAGTTGACCCTTAGAAGTAAATCTTATGGCAAATTAATTTAAACACGACATAGGCAAATCACGCCTATTAAGCAAAGTTGTTTTGATAAACTTTAAAAAGTCCGATACTGAGATTATGTGATAGACATGATTTAGGTTTCTGCAAACAACTCTAAACTCTGATTAAACGGCCCATAATTATATTTACATTTACTCGGCTTAACGGAAATAAGTTGCCTAGAGAAGAGGAAGGAGATTGGGGAAATGATGCGAACGAATCGATAGTACCATTAATTAACTTAATTAGGAAGGAAACACCAAGAATAAATATAAGATTCTCAAGTGACGGTAAGGATAAGAAGGAAGAGAGACAAGGGGGCCCCAAACCAAATTCCTGAGGGCAAACCACAAGAATTGCTTTTAAACGGATTCAATTGAATCTATTTAGTTACATCTATCTATCTATAGGAAGGAGACCAGATCTATCTATCTATAGGAAGGAGATCGACCATACAATAGAGGCATACTCAAGTATTGGTCTAACTAAGTACATGTATAGCTTTTTTGTAATATGACGATCTTTAAATTTTGTGGATCACCTTTTAATGGCACTAAGCGCGGACCTAGCTTTATTTAAAGAGAACTCAATGCGGGTTAATAAGCTCATAATTATGTCAAGCTTTATGAAAATGAAATGATTGAGCAAAGTCAATACCGCCATATATCAGCTTAGCTGGGAAGGATATCCCTCAAGTGAGGCAAGTGCTAATGGTAGCAATCTATTTTCATATAGGTGGCAAAGAGACTATCGGATTTCATTCGAAATTCTACGCATGGTATAGCATCGATATAAATCCTTTACGAAGGAGACCACATAATAGAGGCTTTTTCCAGTATCTGCCCCACCATTGGCATAGGCGTACAGATAGTTGTATAGACAGGCAGACGGACATGCTTAAATCATGGATTCAAATTGATCAAGCATACGTATATATTTTATAAAATCGTAATGTAAGACTTTGTTCTGGAGGCTGCAAACGTTTTCACGAAATGAGTTTTCTCTCATCGTTCGATGGTGGATAGAGAAATTAATAGATTTCTCCAAAAAATTAACTAATTACGCGACTATCGTTGAGCTTTTGTCATATACCGTCATTCAATTTGTACTAAACAATTTCAGACATTCGTTTGCTTGCCACATCTAAGTGCAAGTATATGCTTGTATTTTTTTTTTATTTTTTTTTTTATTGTATTCATTTACGTGTGGTCTTTACATATGTTATTTGACTAATTGTTATTACATAAGCAATTGAGTGCAGACACATTTCAGTTAGATATATATATATATATATAGTTTATATAATAACAAGCAGTGTGCTGGGTGTGTGAACAATCGAACAGACAGTTTTGACAATTTACCACCATCAACTACTGCACAATACATTTCTATTTACATAAGCACACAAACCAGCGTAAAAGCTCATTAATTTAAACAACTTTGCCCTACATGCACTCATTTGAGAAAAACAGTGAAAACGACAGCCATAAGAAAAACAATAACAACATCATAAACCACAAACAACAATTCCCATTTCAATCTAGCCATAATTGTTAAATTACTTACTTTTTGAAATCCGGTTTCAATTCCCATGTCTGATATGGCATATTGCTGTAACGATTTAAGGCAAAACCGAACGTTCCTAGATAATAAAAGTTCAACATAATTATATAGCATAACATGTTATAGGGATTTGAATTTGCGAAGAGAGCTTTATTCGATTTTAAATTGATTTGAGATTAACTCGTTCCGATAAAATATAAAAGATGCTAGATGAATGTAAACAACAACAACAACAACAACAACAAGTCAATTACCTTAATTTTTCATGCAAGGTAGGGTTTGGGTGTCAATTTGTGTAAAGGGAATTTTTTTTTTTTACTTTTGAGAAATATACCGAAGATACCAAAGTTATTTATTCTTAATTATTTTGTTTAGCTTGAAAAGGGTATCGTTCGCCCAAAGCAAAATCACGCTTATCTGCATTACGTGTATAGGTATATGGTTTATAGTTATATATATATCTATATACGTAGTTTCTATAGTAAATATATAACGAAAAAATTTATATGCTTTCCATCCGACAATGCGAGTTTTGTTTTCAATCTTTCTTCATTAGTATGATATTCTTATACATATATACATATACATATATATATATATATATATCATGTTTCTGTAACGTTCTCCATGGGGAACAACTGCAATGTCATTTTCATGTTCAAACATAAACCCAAAATAAAAATTTCTCTTGTGCAAGTAAACATCTCTTAGGAACATCGGATGTGTCCTCTTTACACGTAAGAGACAATAATCCTTACTGACGAAATCATTTAACCAAATATAAGCTCCATCTTACATATACGAAACGTAATCGTGGGTTTATTGTTTTCGTAATAAGTAAAAGTACATATTGTATTCCACAAATAATGGTAAAGTCCGGAAAATATATTGAAAGAAAAATTTGAAGCCATGTGAAGCACAGTGTAGGACAATGGAAAGCTAAAGCAGTTCTTTAAATCCTCTGGCATAGCACAAAAGCTATTGGAACTACCAATGAGCGATATATGTCTTATAAGTGGCCTCTACACGGGTCACAACTCTTTTACTGTGCGAATGCGCCCCCATCAGGCGCAGGATCAGATGCCAAGTGCTTGGCAAACACTTTGTAACGCCGATCATCGTATGGCGTTCTGAACCCAAGAAAGTGATGGGATTCATGAGGGCTGGGGCTCTACGGGCACTACTGAGCACAATAGATTTTTTTTACACCTTACATAAATATCAGTTCAGTTTCGGTTTTATTTAAGAGGACCAACTTTTACAAGGCGCCGTCTTTATAAATGTTTTATTCAAATTTCAGATCATTGATAACTAAAAATATATAAAACAATTAGGTTTTCTCATCGGGATTAATTTGAACTTTTACCGCTATGTCTTAAGATCCAATTTCAAATTCAATTCGGCCATTTTGACTGAACTGAATTGAAAAATTTAATAAATGTAAATTAGTTCAAGGCGTCACTTTTGATTAAGAATACATGCTTTTCAAATGTCTTTGATGTCTATTTCTAACCCTTCAGAGATAAATTTATGGAACGAAAAGAAAAGAAAAAAATAAGATGAGAAGCCTTTACTCTCCGCTTTGACGAATTAAGAAAAAAAAACAAAAAAGAAAAAAGAGAAAAAAAGAGAAAAATCTCATATAATCGAACTCACCTAGACGTCCAGTACGAAATTGTATTGACAGTTTGTCCTCATTGAATTTTGTATCATGTACATCACGTATACTCCATTTGCCATGAGTGAAGGTGGCCGGACTCGTTAATTTGAATTTTTTGCTGCAATACACGTTAAACAAGACAAATAAGAAAACAACGTAAAATATATGCATATATAGTATCACAAGAGTTTAATGCAATTACATCTCGTTTATAAAAAACGTCATATTTTTTGCAATTTATATGTTAAAGGGCGTACTATAAATTGCATTTTCTTTCGAAGAGTGCACAAGAAAACGAAAGTGTACAGGCATCAATCCGTGGGAAAATGTGCGCTCATTTTTCGGTAAAGTGAATTTACAAGACATAAGAAAAACAAAGGATAAATAAACATTATAGTCGAACAAGGCTGTACACCACTTCACCTAATTCAATTGTTTATTTATCTTTGCGAAAAAATTACAAAAGTCCAATTTTGTGTCCATCTACGGTCATACTGTACATGTAAAGTGGCCTCGATGCAATACACGGACAATACATGATTCGAATTACTATTATGGATTAATGTGGATCATAAAATTTTAAAAATCGGATAATTTTGCCACGTAAGGGCATACTCTTCATTATAATAGTAGTACTGGGCTTAGACTTAAGTGGTCCAAATTCGTTAAAGCTAAGTTTGATGTCACATAGCTATTTTCCGTATGAAATATTGAAAATTAGTTTCTTTAACCATATGATTGAATGCGTTTCGCAGCATAGCGAACGGTTTTCTTTGAAAAGGCGGATACCTAAATTAGACCTATGTAGATCAAATTTCGTACAAATTAATTTCTATTAAAATTATTATTATGAACCGATTTTCAGTATGAAGTACTAAAAGTTAGATCATTTTGGCGTGCAAAAGTTTACTTTTCGTAAGAGGGGTCCAGATGGAATGGAGTTCAAAAAATTGACCCTTCCGATACAAATTTTTTCACATCAATTCGGTATGCAAAAACACCTTAAGTTCATAAGAGTGATTTATGACAAAACTTGACTCAACACCACTATATATAGGCGTTCTTATCAACCATAAGCTTTTATATGGCGACAAAATGTACATTTATGTTGCGCCATTTAGCTCACTTAACGGTTTGAGTACGAGACGGTTTTGAAAAAATACTGTCGAAAAATCCCAAGCAGCGCGATCGCGCTGTTTAGATTTTATGTCGAGAAAACCCGAGCACATTTCGAGCATTGTCGACAACTGACGGTGCCTTAACAGGGCAATTGCGCTGCTTGGGATTCTTCGACAGTGTTTTTCCAAAACTGTCTGGTATTTCTCGACATGATATCTGAGCAGCGCGATCGCGCTGCTTGGTACTCAAACGGTTAAATACAAGTTTATCTAAAAGTTTTTCTATAACGATTAAAATTCATACTCGACTCTCGAAGTTCACAACATTTGCTCTCTCTGCAAATATCCTTTAATTCGATAGAAACATTCAGAGAATCGCTAAGAAAAAGATAATTCAACATATCGTGGTTTTCGTCATATAGCAGGGGCATTTTTAGGCCGCCATTTCGAAAATGCAGAAAATTCGACTCTACTACATTGCATTGCGATCGGGGGAAAAGATGTGTGCAAAATTTCAGCATAATTGAACGTTTGCACGAAAGCATTCGAAATGCTTATGAAAGTTACCATAATCGGTAAGTTAAACAAAACCTTATAAAAAGAAAACGGAATTATTTTCTGACGTGATTACTAAAATTATTTTCAATTTCGGCAAACTTCGGTAATCTGCACAGCACTGCATTGCTTTAGTTTGCGTAAAATGTTTGAAGTAACAAATTCCATCGGTAGTTCTGTTTAGCTGCTTCAGTAAAATCCTGCCTACGCCCGACAAGAGGAATTCCTTACTTTCGCATTTAAGTCATGAGAAATGACTCAAGTCTTGACTTTGCTTTTGTCTAAATTTTTAGTCAAAATTTTGTCACATGCATGTATCCAATTTCTATGCTTTCTATCTCAAAGGGAAATTCGGTTCGTAGAGGCAACCATTTCATGTACTTTCTCGGCCGAATATTTGATATTTTTGTTTTTTTTTTTTTTTAACTTGGATTTGGGTTGTCTTCCAAAGTATAAGCACCATTGCCAAATCGCTTATAATTAGCGTTAATAGCTTTTATCTGTTTCATCAAATTTTGTCAAACATGAGATGAAATTTGACGTTAGCTTTTTCTTTTCCATCGGGCCCTTGCGACGAAGTGGCGAAAGTTACTATCACTATAAGCGTCGTTAGTTGATTGAATTATTGATTAAAGTTAGGAACAAGTTAATTTTTTTCTTTCAAGTTATATCACATTTCATAGTAGGAAGGATTGCGGTCAGAGAATGAATCTTGTCACTAAAAGAGTTTTTGTCATTTTTGATTTCATATCAAACGAAGATTTATCTTAAGCTGGCACATATTTTTTTTCTCGTACATAATGCGTTAAGTTTGTGCGGATGCGTACAAAACCCAGCAGTACTTGAGAAAAACCCTCCTTTTATTTTATCGATCAATTTACAATTACTTTCTTGTCTGGCCTTCGGTCCGTTTTGTTTTCTTGTGTTCAACCATCAAATTCTCATGCAAATGATTCGAATCGGAACACTTTCCTGACCACTGGAATACATGTACGGGGATGTAGGGTGATTGATGGTAGACCATGACCCCCTATAGTGTTTCACTTGTTTGAATTAATTTAATAGCAATCATTTCACTAGCCATTACCGTTACTGCATGCCTGTGTCGTTACGAATTTTGTTTTCTTCTTCACTAATTGTTTCACTTAATTTTTCGTTTATTTCATCCAATCTTCTGGCATTCTCCGATTTTAATTATAATTCATCAGTCGTTGCTGTACTCACTGCAACGTGAATATAATCAAAGTTTCTAATGTTTACCGCCCTTCGCTACAGGCGCATTCGTTTTTGCAATTGAAACGTCACGTAAAGAAGTAGTTGCCCCATTTAATGCTGCTTCTATTTGTTTTATAGGTTCGCGGCAATTTGTACGTTTCATGTCGGTCTCCGTGTCGAAATGCTTCTTGTTTACTATTTTATATAGTAAGCCTGATTGTCATTGACAGTATATTGTTAGCACTTTACGCTGAGCAGAAGGCAATTGAAAGCGCGGTCAGTTGTTATCGTTCCGTGTACTAAAAAGGAAACAAATAGTGTCACACGTGCAAGAACGATTTATATAAAAAATAAAATATTTTCATTACTCATACTATTATATATACATCTTTCCTTAAATGTTATTTAAGTTAAGTATTCTCTTAATAAAGAACGTGTTTTCTCAATTCAGACTTGAATAGCTCAATAGAGAAATGTTTAATGCTTTTCGCCGGTGCAAGTTAGGTAATCTTTTCTCTAATAAGAATGCATAATATAATCCCTCTAATGATCAGTATTAAGACATTTTATTTCTTCGTATAGGCAAATTAAATCCCCGTTTTTTTAACCGATCTTTCTTCCCGGAAAGAAGAATATTTTATGAGATTAGAATTCAATCTTTCAGCTTTCGCGATTAAAAATTTCGCAAATCGTTTCGCATCGTTCTTAATTAAATAAACGAAAGGAACATTTACATATTCAATTTTCCTTTAGCTCTTTTAGATTTAATTAGGTGCTTGCATGTATTTTGACATCATTGACATCAGTCGATGAAAATGCGAATTATGGTTCAACTCGACCAATGCGATTTTCGTCTATACGAAATAACAATTTCCCAGTTAATATTATTGAGTTATTCAACGTATACAGAGTCTAATCATTCAATGCTGAAAATTACATTTTCGACGTTCATTACCTTTGTTATTTGATTTGAAGAAATGTGCCGATGAAGCCCATGAAATACTTTTACAAGCGCCTCAGTTTTGGTTTTAACGGATTAAAAGTGCTGATTTTAATATATATCAATGACAAAGATCTGCCTGGAGGACAAAAAAAATAAAGAATTCAAAGACAATGAATCGGAAGAGAGAGAATCGCACATTCCAACTTAGCAGTGGATCAATTAATTGTTTCTAGACGTGGAGAGGAGAAGAGCGACAAACTACAAAGTTTTACTATGCATGTGGTGGGATTACAAGTAAGGTGCAGTATATATATGACGAGCTGCTAAATGAAACTGTTACTGCAAATATCTACCGACGTCAATTGAACCAATTGAACGATGTATTGTTGCAAAGAAGATAAGCAATAGCGGTTAACAGACGACAAAGTCATTCCCTTTCATGTGAACACACTTTGCCGCTGCATGGCTTGGCTGGCATGCGATTTCGAAATGGGGAAAAAGTGAAAAAATTAGTCGATTGGATCTCTGCCAAACCAATGTCGTTGTTTCGACATTGTATCACCATGTCACCAGAAAGGTAAAACACAGGAATGGTTATGATACCAATATTTCTCCATAAATGGCTTTTTGAAAGTAAAACAATGATCAAAATACATGCAAGCACCTATAGTTTTTAAATTGTGATTAATTTGTATGTATTTTTATCGAGGAACTTCATGTATACAACATTTTTATGTTCAAGCTGTCAAAAGCAAAAGTTGAAATGGAAATGTGCAACATGCGGTTATCTATTAATTCTGCAGCTCAAATTTTACACGTCAACAATATTTGGGAAAGGACCGACAAGCCGCAGAAATTTACAATTGTTTGCAAATATTCGCTTAAAAGTCGCTATAATATTGTGTACTTACTGTGCTAAGCACAGCGTGTATACCAGATTATGTATATAATATATATATGTGTACAGATCGCAGCAGATATATATGCATTTTTTGGTTTCTCCACTTATTTAGAGGATTTTGTCAAACTGTATAAAATCGTGTAATATAATAGGTTGCAGTGCACGGGCTAAGATATATGTATGTCGGCGATTGGATATTTGGTTTAGCTTACAATCAAATATATCATATAAGTTAGTGAGGCAAGCCGCATAAAAATTTATATTTAGATGTCAGGATCAGGATTCGATGAATTGCGGACTTAACGAATACATACTATTAAGCGAAAGTTTAGAATCAAGCAAGAGCTCTGCAAGAGAACCTATATAACTTTTAAAATTTCAATCTATTTTGATATGATTCTCTGACCGATTGAACTGACTTTTCAACTGGGGATACGAGTGTTACGAAAGAAATTATAAACCAAGCGTAGTATGATTGAAATATGATGGTTATGAGAAGGGAAAACAAAAGAAAAATTTAAAGAAATAAAATCAATTGACATCAATTGTTAAGTGTTGTTTGCTCGAAATGTAAGAGTCATGTAGTTGGGAAGAGAAAAGGCAAAAAAAGAAGAAGATAAAAAAGCAACAAAAATCATAAAACAAGTAAAAATGAAATCAAAAATCACTTCACGTTTTGTTCCTTTGCAAAAACAACTTAACATAGGTTTTCAGTTAGAGAATGTTTTTTTTTTTTTTTTTTGGTCTTTCTGTATATATACGAGTGTTTATATGTAGGCAAGACAACCCTCGAATTCTTTGACAAGAGCAACAACAATTTATGGAAATAAAATCTCAACAAGGCAACACCTATGTTTTGCATATAAATGCGTCCGTCTGTGCATTAAGGGAAGGACATTTTTTTTTACTCACACAATTTCTTCTTCAAATTTCTCCTACTTAGACAATTTTTCTTTCTTCCTTTGAGTGTAATTGACAGTTTGTCAATTTACCTGTCTGCTTCGGTATGCAGAGAATGAATTTGTGTCTTGTTGCTTTTATTATTATGACTTACCCGTCTATAGTAGCGCTTGTACTATCACTATCGCTTTGACTGTGTTTGCTTAAATAATCATAAACACTTGCTGGCCCACTGCCTTCAGCAACACCTTCTAAGCTGCGTTGTGTAAAATTTTCTTCCTCTGCTTTGGCTTCGTTATCTACTAGGGCATTATAGTACCATTCCTCGCCGTCGTAATCGTCTTCGTCATCATCTGTACTACTACTATCAGCATATTCTAACACATTCTCTTTTTGTTCGTTTTCCCTTTCATATGTATTGTTACCCTCGCTTAGGTCTGTCTCACGTATTAAAGCTATATTTGAATAATGGGCAAATGTTGGTGATGGCTGTTGCTGTTGCTGCTCCAGCTGCTATTGCTGTTGCTGCTGCTGCTGCTGCTGCGGCGGCGGCATGACATCCGTCAATTCAAAGTCTTGTTCGGATTTTAATGCCTCTACCATAGTTGTTGGTTCAGTACGTTTACCGTTATTTTCAATTTTCTCTTCAACTTCGTTCGCGTCGTGCAAACAACGAAAATTATTTTCCATTAGATTTGCTGAAATTTCTTGCAACAATTCCCCTTGTAGCGGCATTTGCAATTCACATAAACGATCCAAGTCCTTGTGTATTTTATATTTTCACATTAAATATATTCACATTTATTCATTGCATTGTTCAGGAAAAAGTAAAAGAAAATTTGAAATGGAGCGTAAGAAATGTTGGTTATATCGTTTTTTTTTTTTTTCTTGTTTTTGTTTTTTGTTTTTTGCTTATTATAAAAGAGAAAAAGAAAAAGGAAAATAATTTATAGAATGCTATTTAATTTCAAAATTCATACAAGAACACTGCATGCTTCACTTTCCATGTTTTTATAAAACTGATATATCTATTGCATTTCTCGAAGAGTTCGTAAAAAGATTTTTCCCTTTTAAGATTGATTCCATCATTTAAAAAAACCAAACAAAAAAAGAAAAGATCAATATATAAGGGAAATTGTACTAGTGCTATATAAATGTATACATGTACATAGTTGAGATGAACAAAGACATTTCTCATATCATCATTTTTTTTTTTATTGTAATGCGTTCTGTAAAAGTTTAGTTTTAAAATGTTACGGTCCAAGAAGGCGGAACTATCACAAGATCGGTGCAAAAAAGTATAGAAAAGCAAATTTAAAGGATTGAATTCGCATTCTTTCACACATGATGTTTGTCCGAAGGAAACGATAGTAAGGACAGGGTGAAGAATAGCCCACGGCATAACATCAGCCTGTCCGGTAAGAAAGTTTCGATTTTCCGTCCGTCTCGGTGAGGGTTTGTGCGCGTGTACTTCTTGGATGTAACCGTCTGTGGACTGTTTGTTGTATCCCCTCCCTCTAATTGCTACCAAACTAGGTAGCTTTACAATATCCCGTGCGTTTGTCCGTTCCAACGTATGACCGTCCGAATGTAACGTTTTGATTGTCCTAATATAAAATATTATTTCTAGATGAAAAAAAAAAAAAAAAAAAAAACATTTTTCTGTTACATAAAATTATATATTTTTGGTCAGAGCAGAACTTTAACTCCATCTAATCGTGTCTGACTCATCGCGATTCCCTTTTTCAGCTGAAGGTCAATAGCCCTTGCTATACTTATACTTGTTAATAACTAGAGATCTATGTGAGATGTCAATGGAGAAGTTAAAGACTGTAACAAGTAGAAATTGTTGAAATGAAGTGGGACACTGAATATATATAATATTTGATAATGGCAACTATAACTTCATATTTAGATCACTGTGGCACTGTGGCAAAAAATGATCTCAAAGATCATTTCCTTGTCCACTTCGTTAGTAATTTAATATAATTAAAAAAAACTTTTGCAGGACTAAGTTGCGATATAACTCCACCGATCCATCACATTCTTCGCTTTCTTCAAATTGATGTCAAATTAAGTTGAATCATTCAGAATAATAAAAATATATATATTAGTCGACTCACAGCTATATTCCCAATATACGCCTAGAAATATGAAAGACTCGTTATAAACGGGAAAAAGATTTCTTGTTTGTCTGAATATTGACAGATTCGAGCTTTCTTATTATGCTTGACAAGATTTTGGCAAATATATATATATATATATATATATATATTGTTCGTATTCAAACAGGTTAAAAAATTAGTTTGAAGTAATAAGGCGAAGAACTGTGATGCTCGTGTCGCGAATAAATTATCGATTTTCCTTAATAGGTAACACGGCCTAACTTTAGTCAAATGCAGCCAGAGCTTAATAACAAATGTTTCAGATTAGGCTATTCATGGTAATCGAAGGTTTAAAGTTTCCGAGAATTGTATGTATTATCCGGGTCAAAAAAGTCGAGTTTTTCTACCCATTATTTCAATAGGAAGACTTATCGTACAGCTCTCGTATTTAAATTGTTTTTCCTTTTTACCTCAATCAACTGCGAGAACATATACTCTTTGGCTAATCCTGCATCTTGTCTTGGTAATACCGAATGTCTTGAATCGTTTTGTTCATGTCCTTTGTTACCATTGCCCATAAGACCAGTTATGCTATCATCGCATTGTAATCCGCCATTATTGAACTTAGTCAGCTTGTTTAAAGGCTCTTTCCTCAAATCCATTGTATTTGAAAGCAATTTATTTGCTTGATCTCGTGCTTTCCTTGTTGATACCTCGGGCAGCAATTGCCGTTGTGATGTTGTTGGTAATGACAATGACAGTGTTTGTTGTTGTATTTTTAATACTTTTCTGATATGTGGTTGAACAAAAAACTCTCGAGGCTCATCTAAATCAAGAAAATTCTTTGTTATACGTGTTATATGCAATTGTTGCTGACTGACGGTTATATCATCGACCATTGTCTTATTGTCTACTGATGGCAAAAACGTTGCATTGTTGGTTTCGTCAAGTCTTGCTAGAAACAATAGTCTCGGTGGTAGTTTAGCTTTTTTCAGTTTTTTACGCTTAAAAATATATTTTTGTTTATGCTCTTGTCCTTTAACTCTCTTGTCTAAGCGTATTGTGAAACCTGATGGTAGTCTTGGTATAACAAAGTCATGCAATAAACTTAACATATCAATATTTTCGGGTATGTTGTGTAAGTCGAAATCCCTAACTTCTTTCGTAGGCAATCGTGAAGATTTTTGCGAGCTTCGTTTATGTAACTTAGAGGTCGGCAAACGAGGTGAGAGACTTTTCAAAGGACTAGGATTTGTGGTAGTCGATGATAGAGGTGTGCACCCGTCTTGGCTGCCGCTTGAAGTGTGAGAGGTTGCCTTTTTAATGCCCTCTGTTAAATCAGATTCTAAAGTTTCCAAACGCGTCTCCCAGCGACAGACAATTGGCGGTTCAAACCAAATAACACTTTCGGGTAATCTGAAAATGGGAAAAAGTTCGTTTTTAAATGGATGAAAACTTTTTATTCTCCAAATAACGCACTGTACGGTAACTAAAGCTAACTTATCTAAGGCTTTCTCAATCATACGCATTTCAGTTTCAATTTCTTCGGGAAGGCGCCTTACACCGGGTTGAGGTGCGGGTGGTGGCTTATAGGTTTGATAATAAATCTTATGACTCAGTTTATTAGGTGTTACAACTAAAACGCATTCCATTTCAATTAAAATCGATTGCATTTCTCTTCATTACTTACTTATCCTTATAAATGAACGTGCATTTAATTGTTTATCCTGTCGTGGTGTCTCTAAATAATCGAGACAATATACGCCACCAATAATACGATACTTTCTTAAATTCACATCGGTATCGAGTAGATTGTAGGCTTCTGGACCTATTGCTCTTCTTCGAAGCTTATTTATTTCATCTTCGTATTCCAAATACAATTTGTCAACATCTTTGCGTTTCTCTTTTTCTAATATATTTTTTTCTACTTCATATTGCTCCAATTCGGAGAGAGGCACTTCTTTATCAAATTCGGCTAACATTTCTTGCAAAATCTCTTTACGTTTGCGCCATTCTCTTTTGGTTTGAGTTAATATATCTGGATGGATATTATTGTCGAAAATAAAGTAAAACACTGCATAATAAATTTTATTGCATTTATTTACTTATGTTATCAGGCCTTGGTTTCTTTAGAGTAAAACTTGGACAATAATCGCTAAGATGATCATAGTTTAACCATAATCCTCTCAGAGCTGAATCGTAGAGTGACACCGTTGGAGGCAAAGATAATTGCATTTCCATTATTGGAAAATCAATTTCATTGTGTTGATTTTGATCACCTATGCGTGACTTTGAATTCAACGAACTAGAGGTATGTGTTAAAAAGAAATTATGATTAGTTCAAGTCTTCTTATGAAAATAAAAGGCCTGCTAACATTTGAGCATCTTTGGAAAAGGTCCAAAGGAAATTTTTAAAAACCTCTGATGTATAAACATGTTTGGACACTGCCAGGCGATCAAGTCTTGAAAGAAAAGAAAAGAAACAAAAAATATAATGAATGTTAGATTAGCATCGACTTTTTTTTTTTATAACCATCTGTGAGCTGACTTCGCAATTAAGGGAAGTCGCTTGCGTGCCTTCAACAAATTATTGTTATGATCTTATATATTTTTGTTACATACATATATATATATATATATATATATATATATCATATGTATCTATGTAGGTATTATTGATATTAAAATAAAATCAAAATGGATATCTGTCGTGAACAAATATATAAAAGATATTAATAACGTCATATATACATATAATATTTGGAATCATACCGAAATATAAGTGACATACAAACAAACATACAGTTAGACATACAAACTTTAAGCACTATTGCATTTATATATGATCCTCCGAATTCCCGCAAAAATTTCTCTTTCGAACTTGATCGTGGCATTTTTGCTTCCACCTAAAAGATCAAGTTTAACGTGCTAAGCAAAGCTTCAAACAAAAACAAGTAACAAAAGTTTAGTGGGCTATGCGCCAACTGTAAAAATCGTATGTCGCTTTACCTATGTAACGATCTTTCAAAATAAGGTCTTATATGCGATCCGAAACAGTCGCAATAGCGCTCGTTCTTGTGCTGAAACATGTCGGTATGTCATATTTTATCAAAATGTTTCCAAAATTGTGACGTGAATCACGAATTGAACACAAAAAAAAAAAAACAACACAGACAGAAGGACACATCCGCTCACACTTAATATACCCTTGTGCCATAAGTGCTGTAGGGTATAAGCAGCAAACTCATGCATTAGCTTAATTGATTATTGAACCAAAGCTGCGTAAAGTTAATTTGGAGAGTTCCAAGCATAATTTGTTTTCAGACACAATCAAGTTGCGGCGTCGATTTGGATTTGAATTAACTGATAAGCATTTAACCTTATGTGAGTTCCATTGTTCATACAATCCACAAATGTGTAAACGTAAAATTTACAAATATTTCCTAAATCGAATTCAGTTTTCCTGTGGCGGGCAAAAAGAAAAAACTAAGATAGACTTACTCCATATCACGTTCTATATGCGACATAATCTTGTAGGTGAAATCATCTAAGTAATCTTTAAGGAATACCCGTATTTCAGTTTTCAATTTCTCCAAATCATTATAAATGTAAGAGGGTTTCTTTTTATCCTTTAGAGAGTCATCAAGTTCCTTTAAAATCTAGTTAAACGTAATTAAATATAATTTGATAACTTTGTTATATCCTTTCAATTATAAATATACGTACCCCTAATACTTCTTTGGTTCTGGCGGCATAAATATCGCCTGCATTTCCTTGCTGTTTCCGGAGCGTGGCTTTAGTCAAGTCTGCAGCGCCAATGTCTTGGGTTAATAGGGATCTTTCGTCGGTCCGCAAGAGCCAATTACGTGCTTCACGCTTTCTTTTTTCAATATCACTTTGCCATTGATGTATGTACTTACGCAAGTCACCGGGACAATTTGTGTTCGGTAATCCATTGCAACGCATATACTTCTCCCAATCGTTTTGTTCATTGTCCACCGATCTAATGGCATCGATTGTTTGTTGAATTTGCTCAAAAAATGCAATACTTTCCTTAAGCTGTGTCCGTCTTTCCCTATTTTCCTGTATTTCCAATTGCAGGCGCCGTTTAGCTTGTTCACGTTCAACTTTCCGCTTATGACGAGCCTCTTCCACCTTTTTCAATCTGAAAGCAATACAAGAATAATATATAATACAATTGTGCATTTAGTTGAGTAATTTTTTTTTTTTTTTGAAAATATAAAAATTTTCAAATACAAATTTTTGATTTTCATTAGTTCAAAAGATTTGTGTGATGTTGTTATGTGATGGAATTGTTTCCATAGAAAGACATATCTATGTTTTGTGTCTCTCTATGGCTGCTTAATGTCCTTTCTACATCAACTGTAGCAATAGTTCCTTTTGCTCTATATTCAGAGCAAAATTATGCACGGAAGAAGTAAGTGAACAGACCGCTTATCAGTTGGACACGCGTTCACATGCTTAGTTAACATAACTGGGTAAGAGTACAAATAATTTTAAGAAACCATTCGTAAAACTAAAAATACAGTAATTCCTTATCCGTTCAATATGTTTACGATCACGTTTTACCTCAGCTATAATGAAGTGGATGCAAGTCAAAAAGGTCTTATGCAGTTTACGAATTCTGATACCTATTTGTGGTTAATTTACATTACAAATATAGCGCAGATAACATAACATTTTTAACGATTACCTTTGCAGCTTTAAATTTAAAAATTTTAAACTGTTTAACATTTAAATTCACATCTGCTTCTTCGTAGAATGCAAAGTTCTGGTGGAATATTTAATAATCAAAAGCTTTGATAATTGTTTTTTAAAGTTTCTTCTTTCTCTCGAATGGATGAAAAATTTAAAACTTTCGTCCAGACTATCTTTCCTCCAGACTATCGGACTGATTGTGTCTGATGTGAGACTTCTTAATAATTAATTTCAACGATTTTCGACGATGCTTGCAAATATTTATAATCAGTTTTTAATTAACATCCACTAAAGGCTACAAACTTCATCTTTCATCATCATCATCAGAGAGAGAGAGAGAGATAGAGAGAGAGAGAGCAGGACTGCCCCCATTCATAAACTTGATCTTCAGGTATCCATCAAAAATATATAAATTACGTTGAAGACTTATTATTGGTGGTATAATGAAACTTTAAAAAAAAAACGACAGCCAAGACAATGGCGGACGGACAGATAGACGTAAGCAATGATTTCTTTTGTTTGAATTGCATGTCTAGCATAATCATAATTATTGTTTTGTCATTGCATTTCTGGCAAATGGTATCAAAGTCCTTCTCTATGCGTTGTATTCTAGCGCTATGAACGATCAATAGTCATAGAACAAAACCATATCTATTCGTCCCATGGTTTTTGGAATTTTGTAGCAATTTTCTCGTATACCGCTGGATTGATCAGTTATGAGAAGCCTATCCTTTACAAAAAAATCACATATAAAATCACAAAAAAATAACTTGTGCCTTGTAATCTCTCTATGATTTTACTCAGAATATGGCTACATATCTGAGACAAAGTATTCGTCTCTAATCTCCGCCAATGGAATAATCAAGTACGAAAATTGGAACTTAATTGCAATCAATCCTGCAATAATCATGCTCGCTAAATGATAAAAATAATTGCAGCACAACATTAGTAAGCAGGGAGATGAAATTCTTTCTACACAACTGTTTTCTTATTGTATCCGAATTATTCACACGCCACATTATGTAGCACATAATGCTGGGCATAGCATTGCTTGGAGTATTATTTGCGGTAATAAGATAAGTTTATAATTCATTTATATGATGATGTGGTATCGCGACGCTAACAAAATCACTTGGAATATGATGGGCTAAAGTTTGGATAAAACATATGGTTTCAATTTTAGTTTAATTAAGTTCAACGTGGACTGCTTCTCTTTCTTATTTATTAACTTACTTTTCTCGTTCCATTTCTATGCGCAATAATTCAGCCTGTTCGGCCTCTAAACGAGCCTTTTCTTTCTTAGTTAACTTCTTCTTTGGTGGCTGCACCGTTGAGTTGAAAACAAATTTTTATTTTTTTTTTTTTATTAGTAAACAAAATTGTTTGTTAACAAAATAAATAAATAAATAAATGAATAAACGTAGTCCATATATTTTACCATTTTTTTAAATAATTAATTTTTATATCCTTTTATAGAGAGCGAAGATTTCGACTGCGATTTCTGTTGTTTATTGATCCAACTTTAAGTTGCTATTAACTACAAAAAAAAAAAAAAGAAGGAAAAATAAAGGAATATCTTTGGTTTTATGTGCACCCACTAAGAGAGTAAAATGAGGGAGGAAGTAATAAAGTAGAGAGCGGTTAATAAAACAAAAAAAAAATAAATAAATAAAAGATATTTGAAATAAACTGATAGATAAAATTTGAACTTTGCGTTGTTAGCCAAATATCCTTTATAGCCGCACATGATTAGTTGCGAACCTCTTCATACGATTTTTGTTTTGCCTTTCTTCTTCGTTTTCCAAATCCAAAAAGCAAAACTTTTAACGCCTTATGTATCATCTTAATTTAATAAAAAGGCTCGTTATTGAGGAATATCATTTTTTTGTAATTTATTTTTATCCTTCAATCCTTTCAATTGAATAGACTTGTCATCAGTATTATTTCCTCTGGTCAATTTCCTTCTCTTACAGAAATAATTTGGTTTTCATAACAGACAGCTAAACTTTTGGGATATATTAAAGTCTTCAGGCAGGTATCCTGCGAAGTACGCTCTTAGTGCGAAATTTTTAGTCAATCTACCTCCGTAGAGGTCGTATCCGTTGCTAGTATCCTCTAAATATGATTTTATCAACGTACAAACTTACCTATAAATTTTATCCAACAATTAAATGATCTCATATTTGAAAGTGTTGGAATTCCTTCATCATATCTTGCATCACATGGGATATGAAATAATTAAAAGGATTTGAGATAGGCCCATTTTCTCCTGCACCAATCGAGCTAGAATCACTTTCTAAATCGATTTCAGTATGTCTCTCCGTCTGTCGGCCTCGTTTTCTTGTCTTCAATCCATAGGCGACAATTTTTTAACTATTGACGTGTTTCGGCACAAAGCCAAACGCTATTGTGAATGGTTCGGATGGGATCACTTTGTCAATCAATTCGCATATAACGCCTCATTTTAAAAAGTTTTTAAATGATTAACTGTATTAACCTAAGTGATGTAGGGTATTTAACGGTGGGTCTTGGTTTCTCTTAGTTTTTTTACTTGTCCCATTAGTTCACAAACTGTCATGTGACAAGCAAGCCCGCATCTTATAAACCCATTACCATCATCCATTCTGTCATATCTATACAAATTTTAGCCTACGGCAGAATGATAATGAAAAATATTCAGAACGATTTTCAAGACCGTGTCTTATTCACCTTATGGCTGGCTATTGAGTAGAAAATGTCAAAAAAGTAAAAAATAAATGATTGAAAATTCGCTCACTAATAACTTTCGGATTTTTTCTGCTTTTTAAACATGATTAGTAAGGTCATCCATGAAATAGATTCGGGAAATTTCTGCCTATTGTCCCCCATAATTTACGAGTAATGAACAAGAACCACCAAAATTATCGCTTAGGGAAACAGACGCGCTATACAGAGGACAAGTCCTTTGATCAATATCAACTTGCATACAAGAGCTTTCAGTATTTCTGCCAATTTTCCAGCCGATATTTCAGTTTTTGGAAGAGTGTTAACACTGCACACATTCACAAGGACATACCGACACAGGCAAACGGACCGGCGGTTAGATTCATTCAGGAAGTGGCGCCTACAACAACTATGCATACATTTTAAGGCCCCTGGTCTTGGATGTTGCAAACACTATGACAAAATAAGTACACCATCCATCCTTCGCATGTTTGTACACTAGGTTTTCTAAAAAATCAAAAAAGTTTTTCATAAAAAATTACATATCTGTTATGAAAATGATAGAACAAAACCCCTATATGTTATACTTACGCTGAATCAGTGGCACGTATTATTTCAAAACTACACCTAACAAACTGTAGACTATTTTTATCGATTGCGGTTGAATTTCTGTCGCACTGGCTAAGCAAAAAGCCATAAGACACGCTTGCACTGACTGTTTATTCGATATCTATGATGGATTGTACATTGAAACATTTTGCCTATTATTGTGAAGGTTTCGGAACTCTCTCACACCCGTATTGAAATTGTAGTCTTAGTAATTGCTTCGCTCAAAGTATTAAACTCATATCTATAAGGGCTCTTTTTTTGGCATTGCAAGCGAGAATTAGTTCTTAAGTTCATTTATTTTTGTTTTCTATTGTCGCAGATCTATCGATCGGAAGACCCAAATTAGATAAATCTAACTTCCACATTCCATAAATTCCATTCCACATTTTATGAATTATATCATTGACAAATTTTCTTATTTATTATTATTATTAATGTGCAATTCTTCTAAAGTCCTAAATAAAGTTCTCCATGGAAAAGTTGCCACTGCTTACAATAGCAAGTGCTCACATGGCTAAACTGAAATTGATACATATTTTTCGTGATGACCTTGAGTGCAGACAAAATGTGCAAAGACATTCGTGATAGCACTAAACAGGAAAAGATAGTTTAAAACGAATACATCACGATATTGATTATAATAGTCAATGAAAAGTGGCGTATACGATATTATTACTTGGTGAAAAGGTTTTCCTACTCTTGTTACATACACGCCTGATGGGCATCAAAAAATTTCAATATAATTTTTGATCTCCTTGTATTTATAATACATTTTTTTTTTTTTTTGATTTAATTGCGTGTGTATATGCGTTATTTCCTTTTTATCTTAAAAGTCTTACACAGGTCGAGTGGAATTCTCCTTAAGCTATACACAATAAAAGCATGTACAATATATTTATATGCATATACGTATATATATGTATACATATAGCGTGAAATTTTTGTTTGAATTCTTTTATGTTAAAAATAATACATATTCATATGTACATATACATATATATATATATATATATATATATATATATATATGCTTATATGATTGAATATAAAGTTAAAAGAATGTCCAACATTCGCCCAGAGACAAGTTTTAACATTCATTTTCATAGACTTTATTTCAGTTTGTCATGGCAAACCCAAAACGAATCGGACGAGATGTTCCCCTTTGTAAAATGAGAACGCACCTGCAATTTAAAATGATAATCTTTTAATACCATATGCAAGGGTAGTTTGCTACCAGTGTTAAGGTGACGAACTAATCCTAGACATATAGACACACACATATCGAGACATATGTATAAACGGCAAACATGCCAGCTTGCCGAGCACAAAACATGCTTGAGATTTCACGAGTTTTGCAATTATGCCCTCTCTCGTTCTCCTTTGTCCTCCGAAGATTATATATGTTGGCATTTGTGTTTTACATTCTTTTGATATTTTATTTTGTAAATGCAAACTATTCAAGTTTTTTTTTT